TTCAGGCACCGCGCGCTCTTTGGGGCACAACCCCAAGCGGACAGGGGGTGAGAGCCAGCTCTGAGCTGCTGGCAGGAGAAAAACCCGTACTCACCACATGAGACACCTGGAGCTTGTTCAGACCCAGTGGAGACCCCGAAAACAAACTTCTCACAGCGTAGAGCTCGGCCACGCACGGCTGGGAACCTCGCTGCACCTGCAAGAGCCACGGCGCGCGCTGCTGACATCTCCCGTGGGTGTCATCACCGAGGCGGTGGCAGCACCACGAGCAGCGGGCAGGAAGGGAGACAGCGGCCGCGGCGCTGCCATACCTCCGCACAGATCTCCTGAAGGCACTTTTGGAGCTGCGCGTCAGGCAGGGAACGTGCTGCCAGCGCTAACCTCTCCTTTTTCGGGTACGAGTCTCTGCGGATGGCGTCGTAGGCGTCCAGGAACTCAACCTGCTGGGTGGGGGTCCAGAAGTAGCGGATCAGGAGCTGGCGCGGGAAGAAATACCTTGGAGAGAAGAGGAGACAGGGACTCAGGAAGGAAAACTGCCCGCGGGAGCCAGGGCAGGCAGATTCCGCACCGCTGGGAAGAGGCGGAAGCAACGTCCTGCACCGGGGCAGCACACCTCGCCCCTCGGAGCTGCGGGCGTCTGCTCCGTCCGACGGGGCGAGCTCGGGAATCCCAGAGTCACTGAGGTTGGAAAAGACCTTTACGATCAGTGAGTCCAACCGATAACCCAGCACTGCCGGCTCCACCCCTGAACCCTGTCCCCCACGCATCTTTGAAACCCCTCCAGCGACGGTGACGCCGCCATGCCCCCGGGCAGCCTGTCCCGGTGCCCGACAGCGGTTTGGGTGCGGATGTTCTTCCCCACGCCCATCGAACCTCCCCTGGCACAGCCCGAGGCCTTTTCCCCCCAGCCTGTCCCTGCTCCCTGCAGCCCTTGTGCTCCACACCCAGCACCGGCTCCGCTCCCTTCTCCACCCGTGCTCCAGCACCTCGGGGTCTCTCTTGTCACAAGGGGCCCAAAACCGAACCTGGTGACTGAGGTGTGGCCACACTGGTGCCCAGCACAGGGGACAATCACCGCCCCGGTCCTGCTGGTCGCACGGTTTCCGACACAAGCCAGGATGCCGTTGGCCTTCTTGGCCACCTGGGCGCACGCTGGCTTGTACCCAGCCGCCGCTGACCAGCACCCCCAGGTCGTTTTCTGCCGGGCACCGTTCCAGCCGCTCTGCTCCAAGCCCATCGCACCCCAGGGGGTTGTTGTGACCCAAGCGCAGGACCCTGCGCTGACCCTTGTCGAACCTCAGCCCGTCCCAATCCACCTGTGCAGCCGTCCACCCTCACCCAGAGCAACTCCCACCTGACGTGCTGCCGTCCACGAACCAACTGCGGGTGCGCTCGAGCCCCTCGTCCAGGTTGTGGACAAAGATATTGAACGGAACCGGCTCCGGCACCGAGCCCTGGGCACCCCGCCGCCAGCGGCGTTTAACTCCCTCCAGCACCACGCTTTGGGCCCAGCCACCTGGTTTTAACCGCAGGAGGAACGCGCCCGTCCCGGCCACGAGCAGCCAGTTCCTCCAGAACGCTGTGGGAAACGGGGTCGTGAACGAATCCATCGGATCCGAGATGGTAAACAGCATCTGCAGCCCCTCCCTCCTCCACAGCGTGGGTCACCTTGGCACAGAGGGAGATCTGCTCCTCCAAAGGCCACAGCGAGCTCGGGGAGCAGCGCTCCAGGTGATCGGGTTGCTTCCATGCCCGGCTGGAGCTCCTCTGCTGCGGCCAAGGCTCAGCGCAACACCAAGATCTCCACCCGGCGACATTTTACACAGCAGGGCTCTCGCCCACCCACCCAATGCAAAAGTCAGGGAGCAGAACTGAAAAATCCAGGGATTTAGCCCGGATTTAGCTCCGGCGTCAGGACAGCTGGCAGGGAAAGGAAGATTCGAAGTGCTACGGAGACAGCTGGGAGGGAATTGGGCAAGGTTTCTCCAGCCAAGCACGCACGGGGCTGTTCCCTGCGTGCCGGGGATTATTTCTCTGCGTTAGAAGCAGGGAGCCAGGCGGGCTGCTGGCACGCAGGAGCCGCTGTTGCAAAATGGTGGCCAAGCTCCTCAGGCTACAGGGGTTTGTTGTTCCAGCCAGAGGTGGACAGAAGGAGGGAGGGAGGCTGGCTGATTTTATAACTCTCAAAAAACTCCCAACTCTGTGAAATTTGAGATATCAGCATCAAGGAGCCCAAAGATGGGGGTTTTGCAAAGCCGTCACCGCGACAGCAGTACTCACATCAGGACGATGACCAAGAAGTTGGCGAAGGGCGGGATGGCGATAATTCCGATGGGAATGGCCTTGATCACGTCCCTGCGGAACTGCCTCCGAAATTGGAACAGAGAATCAGGATCTGACACCAAACATCCCGAATTCCCTCAAAATTAACAGCCCCACAGCTTCCAAACCCCGTTTTTAGGCAGGGAACGCACCTCACCCGGAGGAATCGGCCTCTCCCACCCCCCCGTCAAAGCCCCGCATGCGAACTCCAGCCCCTTTTCGTGGGGGGGGAAACGTCCCCGACGGCAGCGGGGAGGCAGAGCCAGGCGTC